GTGTAGATTCAAGTTTGTTCAAATCATGACCCCCAGGGGTAGGGTGGGGCCACAATGGGGGATCAAAGTTTTACATAGAAATATATAGGAAAATATCTTTAAAAATCTTCTTCTTAAAAACAACGAAGCCATGATTGGTCATATTTTTATGGAAGCATCCTCAGGTTGTGTAGATTCAAATTTGTTCAAATCATGACCCCCAGGGGTAGGGTGGGGCCACAATGGGGGATCAAAGTTTTACATAGAAATATATAGGAAACTATCTTTAAAAATCTTCTTCTTAAGAACAGCAAAGCCATGATTGGTCATATTTATATGGAAGCATCCTCAGGTAGTGTAGATTCAAGTTTGTCCAAATCATGACCCCCAGGGGTAGGGTGGGGCCACAATGGGGGATCAAACTTTTTCATAGAAATATATAGGAAAAGATCTTAAAAAATCTTCTTCTTAAGAACAGCAAAGCCATGATTGGTCATATTTATATGGAAACATCCTCAGGTAGTGTAGATTCAAGTTTGTTCAAATCATGACCCCTGGGGGTAGGGTAGGGCCACAATGGGGGATCAAAGTTTTACAAACGAATATATGGGGAAAAAATCTGCTGCTCAAGAACAGCAAAGCCATTTGTTATATTGATATGAAAGCATCATTAGGTAGTTTAAAATTCAACCCCCACCCCCACACCACCCCTCCCCCACCCCCATAAACTTTGCAATACTGAACTGATTTTTGCTTTTTTTCCTAGCCAATGTGCTCAGGTGAGCGATGTGGCCCATGGGCCTCTTGTTTATAAAACTGATTTTGCATCGGAATTATATTAAATTTATCATCGTCTTGATATTTGTGTTTAATGTAATTTTCATTAAGACCTAGCCTACAATATAAAAATCGACCATTATGGTAGAAAAGATTATCAATCAGTTCTAATAATAGGTAAACTTATTGGACGGGTACATGTAAGTGGACTGCTTTTTTATGACTCTATTATATAAAGTATGAAAACAACAAAAGACTTTCCAGAAATTTTTGATGACATCTTGATCTATATTACAAGACCTTGTCGCACTTTTGAAATGAAAAAAAATCGAGCCGTGTAATTTTAATTACACTTTGTTTCAGTCATTTTAATCAAGTCTGTTCACAAATTTTAATTTAAATCATCAAGGCATCTCTGCTGTAATTTATAACACTTGTTTATCAGATTCTTTGATGTTTTGTCAGAATAGTAATTTTGAAATATCCTTGACCTTGTAATTCAAAACAAGACAAACGCACCACAACGCGCGACATCCCATTGCAAAAGAGTACATCTATCCCGATATGAATATATTACTTATACGTAACTTCCGTTACGCGCGCACGCACTCACTGCCCCCCCCCCCCCCCACACACACACAAGCGCGTTACTTATATCCCCTCGCAACGAAGTAAGGGGATAGGAAAATAAAAGGCACAGAATTACGATTATGAAAGATTCATCAATAAACAATCTCGCCTACCTTCAGCTGAGTTACTGCAACCTAATTTGTTTAAACCATGTAAAGCCCCTGTGATACATGTGGGGAATGGGGTCACAAAGGCGGTTCATTGTTTTGTATATGTTGTTTGAAAATCTGAGAATATCTTTTCAAAAACGTTAACTTTACAAGATTTCAAATTTAAAATAAATAAAATAAAATAAATAAAAAATAAGCAGTTTGAAGAAACTTAGATTCAATTTATTTTTAAAACTTGGTCCTAGGGCAGGGATATAAAGGGGGATCAAATATATAGAAAGTTATGCAAAAAAGGTTGAAAATCCTTTAAAGAACTACAAAACAACAAATTGTGATGTTTATATGCAATAACACTCAGGTATTTTGGAGAAAAGATGCGTTAAAAACTGTAATCCGCTTCGAAAAGGTAGGGCAATAAAAATGTTTCAAAGTTAGACAGCACTTAAATCTTGAAAGAAGATAACCATTCGAACACGTTTTTAAAGGGGGGGGCCTATGTCCGAAAAATCTCTTTGAGAGAAATACTTGATACATTCTAATGTTTGCAGTGTTCATTTATAGCGAATGTTTTTAATTTTATATAAGAGTTGGCTTTTTCATATAATTTCTTTCGTTTACGTACCAAGCGACCCATGCATGACAAAAACGCTGTCGATAGAATGGAGTCAGACATGCGTTTTTTGCACCACATAGACACGGTTGTGGATCAGTTATACGATATAAAGAAATCAATCTTCTGCCATTGTTATCTAGATAAAATAGGAGTCGTGTTGGTGCCATAAACACGTAATGTAGTTACTTAAAGATATAGGCAACATTAAAACAACATCCGAGGGAAGCGATGCCTATCTTACATGTTACGTACAAATTAGCTTCAACCAAAATAATCGTTTAAACTCGAAATATTTTAATTTCCAGCTAAGACTTGGAAATTATTATGACTATTCAATGTTTTTAAGTTATATCAGGATGGATTTTTTCTGGAAATGTTAAAAGCATTATTACAATGACTTGAGGGGGAAATTATATAAGGAAAATGGCTGAGGGTTTATTCAAGTCATTTTGCACATCAGGTATACACTTAATCAAACTATTTATACATTATTCCAGAACTGTACTTGTGGATATATCATTAAACATGATTAGATGTACATGAATTCAATTAACATTCACTAACTATAGCGTACGTAGAGTCGCTAACTTGATACAATATAAATGTAGCCGTCTCCGATTTTTTTAATCTGATCCCCCCCCTTTAAAAATGGAGAGGGTTACAACACTGCAGTTTAGTACTAACCATAATTTAATAAATAAACATTTACTTCGGTTATTTTCTTATTTTTCTTTTCAGCTTCAGATGTCCTTGAGAAACTTTTGTTATCTAACCTTGGGGTGGGGGTGGGGCATAACCCTTCATTTAAATATACCTGAATCCCATTCATCCAAGAATACTTTGTTCTAAGTTGGCTAAAATCGCCAAATGGCTTTGGAGAAGTTGAAAAAGTGAAAATCTAACAGATCACATGCAGATGGGCAGACAAGCAGTTTCATGGGCAAATATTCGATTGGTGGTATAAACCAATTATATTATGATTTCGTTTTAATTTTTAGCTCACCTGAGCCGAAGATTAGGTAGGTTCAAGTTTGTTCAAATCATGACCCCTGAGGGTATAGGGTGGGACTGCAATGGGTGATCAAAGTTTTACAAAGGAACACTTGATAAAAATCTTTAAAATTCTTCTTTTAAAGAACAGCAAAATTATTATTAGTCATATTTATAAAGAAGCATCCTCATGGAGTGCAGATTCAATTATGTCCAAATCATGACCCCCGGAGGTAGGGTGGGCCACTATGAGTGATCAAAGTTTTACATACGTATACATAGAAAAAAAATCTTTAAAATTCATCTTCTTAAAAACAGCAAGGTCTTGATTAATCACATTTATATGGAAGCATCCTCAAGAAGTGTAGATTCAGATTTGTTCAAATCATGACTCCTGGGGTAGGGTTGGACAACTATGGGCGATCAAAGTTTTACATAGGAATACATAGGGAAAATCCTTACAATCTTCTCAAGAACAGCAAGGTCATGATTAGTCATATTTAGAAGGAAGCTTCCTCATTTAGTGTAGATTCAAGTTTGTCCAAATCATGACCCCCCGGAGCAGGGTGGGGCCACTATATTCGATGAAAATTTTCCATATGAATACATTGGAAACATCTTTAAAATCTTTCTTCTCAAGAACAGCAAAGCAATCGTTAGTTATATTTATTTGAAGCATCTTCAGGTAGTGTAGATTCTAATTTGTTCAAATCATGACTCCAGGGGTAGGATGGTGCCACAATGGCCAATCAAAGTTTGACATAATGATATTTAGGAAAAAAATTTTGAAGTCTTCTTCTTCAGAACAGCAAAGCCATGATTATTCATGTATGGAAGCATCTTCAGATTCAAGTTTGTGCAAATCATGACACCTGGGGATAGGGTTGGGCTGGAGGTAGGGTGGGGCCATCATATATTATCTTAATTTTACACAGAAATATATTGAGAAAAAAATCTGCTGATAAAGAACAGAAGGGCCATAGTTATTAAGGTGAGTGTTGTGGCCCATGGGCCTCTTGTTACAATATAACACTCTGTGTTTTTCATGAAGGAATCCATAGGAACACCAAGGTAGGGCGACAAATTATTATATTACATATATTTTCTAGAGAAGTTCAAGTAAGAGACTCTATCTCCATAAACAAATTATAAGACTATAAGTAATACTTTAAACATAAACAAAATTAAATAAAAGGTAGAAACTCTGTGATTTTTGTATTATTTTATTGTCTCGCGAATTAACATTATTGGTTTAGAAGTAAAGGATATACACTGTCAAAATTTAATTGGGAAAGGAGGGGGGGGGGGGGGGGGGCGGAGGGTCTGTGTCCATTCATTTTCTCATAAGGTATAAACTTACTCATACTACTCAAATATAATTCTAGTATTTGCAGATAATATATCATTAAAAATGATTAGATACATGTATACCTATAAAAATGTGCCTGATATTTGTAACGCAATAAATTTTCGAAATTCAAAGCCCTATCAGTGCATGCCTGTTGATTAAGTATAAATCTGCAAGCTGGAACACATTTCAGTGAACTTGATTCTAACAACTAGTATTACCAATATGACAGTTCCTCCTCTTCAAAAAAGTGAAATTTAAAAAAAATTTCCAATGCAAAACTTTTTCTTTATTAAGTCCGAGTGAATTGAAAAATTAACCAGCATAACAAATATCTGTAATGAAATTTTAACTTTAAAAAAATGTTTCAGTTATCTGTGGATGAACTGTCTATCAACGATGAAAACTTTAGTGTCGTAAAAAACGAATATTATGACTATATGCAACAAAAGTCGTAACATAACTCATACTGAAATCGAACAGACCTGAAACTTCGCACATGCCAATCGGTTTTTGTTCTTACTTTATCGCGCGTCATGTACGTCGGGGAAACTACACAGAAGCGGTAGGATCTGTTGTTGAATTTCAGGGGGTGAAAGGATGAGGGATTACCCCTCCACTGGACTATGGTAACGATTTCGATGATAAGATAACACGCTTAATGAAAAGTGACATCTGCCGGAGAGAGCTGCACAAGTGTGATTTAATTGACTTTTTTTTTTAGGGTATCGTCCTTGCTCCAATTAATAAGAAATGCCAGAGTCGCACTGTATGTTTCCCCCCTCCACTGAGTAGCACCATTATTCACTTTAGATACTGCCTAGTGGGGTTGCTTTAAAAGGTGAGTACATTTAAAAAAAGGAGAGAGAGATTGATGCATTCTGTCTATATATCACGATATATTAAGAGATTAAAGTATAAATTGAAGAAACAGAGACAACAAGGTTACACTGTATCTCTGCACCTTAAAAACGTTTCATCATCTGCAGTACGTAAGCACTGAATTTTCTTCAATCTCCTTCTTCATTTCATATGCCATGTTTTGTTGGAGAAGAAAAATTTGAATTCAAAGTGAATCAGAAATCTTACTAAATTTTAAATTTTTACTTCAGGGGTGGTAGACTACAGGAATTAAGTAACAGAAACCAGTTGTGACATCTCGCTTTCACCTCTCCTAGGGTTATATCGAGTAGCGACGACTTTTAGTGCGTGCACAACGTCCTGCTATCGGAACGCTCTTCGGCGGTAGAATCCGAGATGTGATATTGTGTGTTGCTTGCACATGTCATTGTTTCCTAGGCGTCAGCGGTCGCAGTGGATTAAAGATTTTCGGTAAGAACTTCAATGTATGACACTAAACAGAGAGAAAACGTTCGTAAATATTACTGGACAAAACTCAATGGCAGAGGAAACGCAGACTCGTGGTATTTTACAGAGAGCAGTATAAGGTATATATGTCTATACGTTATCTCTTGTTTCTTAGTCATTTTCAGCTTCTTCAAACCAAGTTTCTTGCTTTTTCGAGCCATGTTGCGAGATAAACGAGACTCTGGCTTTCCTTCAAGGCGACCTACTTGGCTCTTTTAATCGAGACATTGTTAATTTATAGTTGACCTTTTCCTCCTTTTATCTTGAGATATTTAATCAAGGACTTGTATTTAGATTAGCCCCAAGCTCCAACTGTATTCTGTATCTTTCATTATGTAAGCTAAATTAGTGAAAAGCTTGAATGTCTTTGTCTTTTTTTTTACTGAACAAAAACCGTCAATATTTTTAACACTATACCTAGCATTTCTTGATGTATTTACATGTAGTTAAGGAAAGTACCAGTAAATGAAAATTGACACTGAACAAAAAATGCACAGAATGTTTAGTAAGGTGTTCATTTTCATTGTTTGTCCTACCAACAAGAAAACACAATCACTTTTTTGGCAAAAGAGCTTTTGATACATATTTGAAATCAGTTGTCTCGATCGAATTTCATAAGTTAGTGCTCATATCTTATGTATCTTTTTCGTCGGAGAAATCGTTGAACCTACCATGGATAATAGGGTCAAATGGTAATTATGTGAAAATTCACTTGTGAAAATATCAAGAAAATAAATAATGAAATTGAAATTTGATCGTCCAATCATTAGCTAATCGATGAATCAACGACAGAAATAAATGCCCCTTATTAATAAATTCATGTTCAACAGGTGTTATGGGGCTCAGATTCCCGATAATAACCATCGTGGACCGGCATATAATTGTTATATCAAACTCGTGGTCCCCTATGACTGGCACATGCATATCACACTTTTCCAATTTAGAGAATTTGATTTCGAATTGTTAGTTAACACATTCTATAGGAACAGAATGGTAGAAAATGTTTTTTAAGGGTGTGCACTTGTTTACAATATTGAAATTTTGTTTAAGGCCAAGATTCTAAAAATCATGAAAATATACATTAAAACTATGTTTATATAAGTAAAATGAGTAAGAAATAAAATAACATTAAATTTTTTTCTCAAGAATGTTCTATAAAGTGATTGAAAAATTGTGTAGATTTAGGGGGAACAGTAAAAAGAGATCTAGAATTTTCAATATCGTAGAATACTTTAGGAATGTGATATCTGCGTCATTTACAATCAAAAAAAGTCCAGAAAATATGTACCTATACATGCATTCAATTTATTTCGTTTGTAACAAGTGTTCTTCAAATAATTTATTCTGCTAATGTTCATCTTCAAAGTTGAAAAACCCAAGATTTCGTTGACTTTCATATTTGAGAATTTTTGTTTTCTTTTATTTTTAATTTTGTCTTTGTTTAATTGTTATTTTGGTTTGTTTGTTTTTGCTGTGTTTCCTTCTAATTTGTTTGTTTTTTTCCCTTTGAGTTTGGATTTTTGCATTGTTTTAATTTTTGAATTTTTTTTTTTTCTAAAAAAGAAAAAAAGGAATGCATTCACTCTAGTCACGTGACAAGCTGTCTCCCATACGTCATGATCCCACCTGAAAAAATAAATCTAAATAATGTATAATGAACAAAAAACTGCATTTCTGGCATGGGAATCGGAGAAGGAGTTTATTTCCTCGACATGCCATGCGATCAAAAGGTCGGTTATCAGATGCCTACATCAATACAGTTTTACATGCTGTTGTATTGTTCAATGAAACAATAAGACCTTGTTATTCCGGACTGGAGGAAAAAATGAATACAGTCGGCAAGTTACAATGCAAGAATCAAAATATTCAGTTGCATGGGTCGCGCCAATTTAAGTTATTTTGACCCACTACATTCATATTTTAAAAGATGTTGTCATAATTTGATTTAGTAGGGATATGAAGTAGTGAGTGGGGTGGGTTTACCATTTGTTCTGTACAATAATCATAATATCCTTAAGATTTCAGATTTGTATTTTTGGAAAAACCATTTTGATCAGGAATGATGCATCAACTTTATAAATACATTGATTCAACTTAAAAAAAATTTTTTTTGCAAGTCATGAGAAATCGAATTACTTCATAAGATAGATGCCATCAGGTATGATATACAATAATTCATTACATAATTTTGATATGATATTAAATTTCAAGGTCAAGTATTCACCTGCACTGCACAAAAATTTAGAGAAAGCGATACCGGGTGAAACATGCACGTTTTCCCTGCAAGAGGAAACAGGGCATAACTTACCTGGCTCATTAGCGCGGGATAAATTTACACACCGTTTCCTTGTTGGGTCAGTGGTGCAGAGTTGCAGGTTAATCTGTTTAAAATCAGAAACAATCTCCAGAATCGTTTAATTAAGACGTATTCCGACGTGTAAGTCATCATTCTCTTGTAATGCTTCACTAAGAACAGTTATCTGTTTGTTGAAAACCGACAGCGAAGCTGAGCTGCTTTGGAAATAGGAACTTTTTGTCCGACATTTGGTTCCTTTTTTAATGGGATGGCCTATGAATCATAAGATTTCGAGGAACAATAGGATTAGATTGTGTATATAAAACAAAGGTTTGTCGTGTTCTGTATATCAACTGATTTTCTTATTTCTTTTACACTCGCATTGTCCTGTGATCTAGAATCTTTTTTCTTTATTTTTTTCATATAATAATCTATTATTATCTTAATATCAATTTCACATAATAAGTACTAGTATTTTTGCCAAATTTTACTTACTCAACTTTATAAAACAGTACTTTTTAAAGCCTTGTGGATACAGAATGGCTTGTTCGGTCACTCGGTATGTTGGGGTTAAAAAGATTGATGCTGAGCAAGTGGCGGCCGTGCAATCCCGTGTAAACCTTTTTTGTTATGTCTATATTTTTGTAGTTATTAATGATCCATAATGCGTTCTAATGCACGTATGATATCCACCTTATCGCATTGTGTCAAGAAAAATAATATCTATCTATCGTGACTCAGTGGTATGTCGTTTTCTTGTTTGTAAAACATGAGAAATGTTCATTGTGGTGCGGGCGGATATTTTCATTTATAAGTGTCACTAAACACAAAATTGCACGAAACTTACAATTCATCAGTTCGGAAAATATTTCATTTTAAATTTTACAGCAATATTACTCACCGCCAAATCAAACTACACCAAATTGGCACTTTGAATAAATTCTAATACACAAAAACGGAAACAGGTTATATAGGGAGCCAGGTGTAATATTCAGCAGTCATGCCACGCTAATGTTCTGGTATCCCCAAGATCTTGAATTATGGCACGTTTTTGCATTGTTTTATTTTTTTCGGATTTTAAGAATTAGATTTGGGTTAAGTGGCATAAATTTTACAGATTTGAAAACTAAATGCCTTTGACCTGGTAGTCGATCTTGTCAACGATCCTTAAGTATTCCTTGCCTTAGTTATCACCACTCTCGATAGGGACATTGAGCCAAATATAGCTGCACAATGTATTCAAAAGGCTTCCTCTTGACGCAGTGTAAGCACTTGCTCTCTCTTTCTCTGAAAAGGAAACACGTGTTCGATCCATGTACTCCCTCTCTCTATCATGCCTGCAAACCAAGTGCAAGTTGTCTCCCCTTAAATATGTTTTAACTGAATAAATTTGAGTTTACACGTGCGTCAATAACAGGTTAATTAATGCCCATTCATTTTCTAGCGTTAAGCTTACCTGGTCCAAAGGTTTAGGCTTTATTTGTTGTCTGTTTGGCGTTCTTTCCCGATAATCTTTCGAATTTTAGACCTCTCCAGGGCCTTAACTAAAAGCATCCATTGGCAAGTTAAAATTGGATTCAAAGATTATCGTTTGCTGAAGGACCCCACCCCACCCCATCCAACAAATAAAGAAAATTAGGACATTGCGAAAGTAGGTTTGGATCAAGTAAAATCTTTTTTAAACCACTGATTCAGCTTTCTGTGAATTGGTTAAAAACGGTTTGGGCGGGTTGTAATTATCAAAATAGAAATCAAAGTACTGAAAGCACGTAAAGTGGTTTATATGCTCTTGTACCTGTACATATATTTACGAAGTATACTTTCTGTAATTTGTTAAGAGAATAAGGCTCTTTTTTTTTTAAATTTTGGTTGTTTATAAACCTACGGTTGTTTTTCTTAGTTTTTTTTTATGTTCATCAAGCCCTAAACCATTTTTTTAGAGAGGGAGAGGGCTACAACTCCTTCGGGTCTCCATAATGGTGCAGGAGTGATTCACTCCCGCAGATTTTAACAAGAAATAAATGATGCGGTAAAAATGAAATTTGCTGAAATGTGCATCATATAAAAGTCTGTTAGAATGATGCGAAAGATAAAAAAGCTCAATATGTTTGAATATTTTATTCAGATGATGTTAATTTAAAAGTATGAAGGAATTATTTAAGCATTTGGTACTATATGCATTTGAATATGTGTAGTTCTGTTTGTTATTTCCACGAGAAGATAACACCTGTGAAAATATCAGTTCAATTACTCACTGTTGGAAATTTAATAAAAAGCCGTCTTTAAGATCAAATTTAACGTCATTATATCACATGTTTCAAAGTCTTTTTAACATGCAGCATTATTACACATGTTTACATTTTTAGCTGACTTCAAACAAAAGAATCTAGTTCTAGTGGTCGCGAAAATGAAGAACAAACTTTCTTTTATTGAATAAGTCAAACTCGTCGATAAAGTCAGTATATATGGTATTTATTAAATACTGTGGCAAAGAAGAAATGCTAAATATACAAGGTGTACATGTACCTCTTATATAAGCTAGAGAAATTGGCAACATAAAATATTCGTTAGATTGATTGATTGATTGTATGTTGTTTTACGTCCCATTCGAGAATTTTTCACTCATTATAGAGACGTCACCATATACCGGTGAAGGGCTTCAAATTTTGACCTTTACTCGGCACTTAGGGTTATTGAGCTGTGAGGGATCTTTATCGTGACAACGCCTGTCGTGACACGGGGCCTCGGTTTTTAAGGTCTCATCCGAAGGACCCGCAACTTTCA